AAAGTTAGAAATTTCATTCACCTCCCTCTCTTTTTATAACATATTTTCTCCATTTCTTTACCATCTCTCTTTCAATGTGGGACAATTTCACTAATCTTTTTTGTAGTTTTTCTTTGTCTTTTTTTAATTGTGATTTTAATAAAAAATAGTTACTTAATTTTTATAATTAAAAAATGCATAATTTTGTTTAAATATCTAAAAATATAAGACATTTTTATTATTTATATTTTACAAATTTTATCATAAAAATTGATTATATTTTAAAACTAATTATATATAAAATAATCGAGTATCTCACAAGCTTTCTGAGTGGAGTATTGAGTAGCTTGACTTGACTCGTTAATATGTCGAGTCGAGCCTATTCGAGTCGAGTGTTGACCGAGTTTTGACCGAGTCGATCTCGAGTAGCTCGCGAGTTGTCTCGTACCCTTTACACCCCTAGGCCCTATCGGTTACGAAAGTTAAATTGGGCACTTCACCGATACATTGCCTCAGCTTATGTAAAAACCATGTCCAATACATTGCCTCAGCTTACGATCCCATTGTTTCCATCCATGCTGACCGCTAAGAACATGGTGTCCACGTATGGTCATTTAGATGGGCACCGTCCATTATAAGGAGCGGTCTCAGGTGTTCTAGAAACGAGTGAATCTGCAGATGAATGAGGTTATAAATATAAACTTTAAAACATATAATTATGACAATAATTCAAGAATATAACAAAAATTATAACCGAACAACCGAGTGCGACAAACAACATGTCGAATTGTCTAAGTCCATCAACAACGATCTCTGTCACAGTTCCCGGATTTGCTATCTTCAGATTGTAACAATAAACCGGGAGTAGGTTAAACAACGATTCAGGGGTCCCCTTCAACAGTTGTAAGGCATACATCTTTGCTCGTCATGCTTGGTTGTAGGAGATGCTAATATTGAACCGTTGGTTCACATCTTCCATGATTTAATTTCCACGGTACACTCTCCTACAATCCTTTAAACTCCCTGTCAATATATGACCCAAAACCTTTTTATTCGCATTATGGTGGTTTAGGTGGATTTGGACCTTGAACATGTGTGTTCATCATGTAATTCTGTACCTGAAACATACTGGTACCATCGATAGAAACAACCATTAAACGCCAATCACAGTCTGAAGCAGAGTGACATACTGTCTCATACCGGTGTTTGGTTGATTTCTTAACCTTGATCTGAAAGTTTTCATAAACGCATTTTAATCCCAATGCGAGCTTCAGTGCTTCCTTCGAATCAAAAGTTTGGAGAACTTTTACATGGGATGTAGACTGGTATGAAATGTTTCTCTGTCTAGTTTTGATAACAGGGTCTGGGCAAGGTATTGGGTTGGGCATACCCCAAAAACTATTCCTTACCGGTTGGACTTCTTCAACATTAGAGTTACCGTCTTCGGGTATATTCAAAATTTCTGCTGCAATAGAAACATCTTCAGCCATTTCTACCTCCCGTAAATTTTTTGACTATTCCGAAGACTGGATCAGGTATTGGTTAGGAGACTATCTCGGAGACAGGTTCAAATCTTGAACCAAATAACTATCATGACCAACATGATTTTTTGGTTCAAAATATGAATTTCCACCAACACCACCGGGGAAAAAGTGTTTGGATTTCCACCACTGCCACTTCTGGGGAAGAAAGTGTTTGGATTTTCACCATTACCACCACCTGGGTAAAAAGTGTTTGAACCATATGGGTTTGCACCACTATCGCTGGGGAAGAGAGTGCTTGGATTTCCACCGCTACCACTACCGGGGTAAAAAGTGTTTGGATCGCCGGGTAAATTTTAATGGATTACGGCACTTGATGGATTTCCACCATAACCACCATCGTCGACCATAAAGAGTGCCAACATTTCTGGTAAACTTTGATGAACGGCGTTATGGAACATTAGCACATCGTCGTCATCGCTTAACTGATATAATATTTATAAGAAATTCATTTTATAAAATAAATTGAAATGACTACTTAAACTTAACTTTTTTGTAACACGTTTAACCAAACCAGAATGCGTTATTGGCGAAGGCAAACGTAATACACGTACGGAAGAGCTTAACGAAAGGTACTCTAAGACACAATTTATCTCCTGAAATGAACCGCCACTCCGAAGATACACCAAAACATCATCACTTTGACGTGATTTCATATTTGTGTTTAAGGGTGAAGAGTTGTGATGGTAGATTGTGTTTAATGGGTTAAGGGTTAAGAATTGTGATGGTTTATTGTGTTTAAGGTTTAAGGGTTGTGAGAGTAGAATATATGAGAATATAAGTGAAAAATGAGGTGTGAAAAAAATAATGAGAAGTCCATGTTATTTATAATAAAATATGTTGTACTAAAAGACGAAATACGAGTCAACAAAAAACACCTGGATCGTCCCTAGGGGAAGATTAGGTGAGGKGGGGGGGGGGGCGATCCTGGTATACGAGGCAAATAGTGTTTGGTCTCCAAAAACAGATACATGTGGGGCCCACAAATTAATTTTGAATTATTTTTTTGTACTTTTTTTGTCAAAGTTGGCTAGGGTCGCCCCCATGGTCAAACCATGCCCCTCGGGGGCGATAGGTCGTTTTGGTAAAACCTGTAAAAATGACTATTTTGTTAATACATTAGGTATATTTTGGTCATTTTCGTGATTTTCCCTTAATAAAAATGATGTATTTTTTCATATTACTGGTTCGTTGTATTTTTCTACTTATTTGTTAATACATGAAAAAGAAAAAAAGGGGAATTGCATCAAAATGAAACCAACTTTCACCTTATCACTATTTTAATGAACCAACTTTTAAGATCGTTATTTTAGTGTTTAAACTAAACTTTATGTTAATTCAAGGGTCTGCTTTACCGACTGTTATCGATGACGTGGATCAGGTCAATACCAACTATATACCATGTCATATTCAAATTTTAAATAATAATAAATCTAAAAAGATGATGGGACATCAATAATTATAACATCACTCAACATTTTTCCATTTACTATAATTTTATAAAATAAAAATAGTAAATTACATCCCTCTCTCCATCTTCACTACTAATAAACCAATTCATCTCCCAATCTCCAACTAATAACATGAAAATAAAGGAAAATTCTTGATACTCAGATGATTATAAAGAACATAAAAACATGAACCCCATATTGTTAATTCAATATATAACATAAAACATGAATCCTTTTTACCTACAAAATCAAATGCAGTCACAAGAAATAGATGTACATTAGAATCCATTCAAAAAGAGTGCAAAACACCAAGATAAATATATGTATGTGAAAGATCTTCAAAGTAACAGATATAGAAGATATAAAGATTGTGGTTCTAAGGTGAGGGACGGTGATGAAGGGGACGAAGTTGAGACTGAAGGGGCTTCCATTTCTCCCCTAATAGTACCACAATTCACGATCCAGGATGGTAATAATCTAAGTTGAGTTCACTATTGATTGAAGTTCGGATTCACAAGATCTAGAAGCGATGAAGGTTGCGGGGTTGTACGTTCACAATGTGGAAGAGATGAAGACTAGGCTATGATAAGGATGGCGATGTATTTGCATATTATATTAATAAATAAAATATCATATTAATGATCATTTTTGGTTTTTTAATATCCATCTAATATTTTTTCTAATATCCACCTAATAGCTATACTATATTATAAAATATTTGACAAAAATTCTTAAAAACCATTTTTTATGCATAAAGTACTGTTTATTAATGCATATTATTTAAAACTCAAGATTACAAGTAGATTGTGCGTAAGTACAACTTATTAAAACTCCATATATGAATTCGT